TGCATTCCTCTCTTTGTAAACAAGCCACAGTGCATCCGGGTTCTACATCAGAATGCATGCGTCGTGGTTCTGTCATTAACATGCGTCGAATTCTGATACGGAAGAGAAGAATAGTTTAATAAAGTCATTATTTTTCTTTTCTTTGCGCACAAAAAGTGTTCTTGTAGTTTCATAAAATTACAGTTCAACCACTGATATCACATGGACCATTTTAACGATGTCCTTACTACCTTTTTGGGCCTTGAACGTTTCAGTTGTGTTGTTGTCTATGCAGCGTCAGAAAGCTCTCGGATTTCATCAAAAATATCTTAATTTGTGTTCTGAAGATGAACGAAGGTCTTGCGGGTTTGGAATGACATGAGGGTAATTAATGACAGAATTTTAATTTTTGCGTGAACTATTCCCAAAAAAAAACTGCCAAAAATGTACTCATTCTCAGACCATCCAAAATGTACATGAGTTTGTTTCTTCATCAGAACAGATTTGAATAAATTTAGCATTGTATCACTTTCTCACCAATGGATCCTTTGCAGTGAATGGGTGCCGTCAGAATGAGAGTCCAAACAGCTGATAAAAACATCACAAAAATCCACAAGTAATCCACATGTATATGAAAGAATGAAGAAAACTTGAAGTTTCAGAATCCAAAGAAAAAAATAAAATCACAATAAAATCTATTGAAATGAACAATACAAAAACAAAAAAGAGGAACTCTCTAACTAATCTGATTAATAGGAGATATAGTGAGTTCTGCACAAGCATGAATGTCTAATTATGAAACAGTTTGAATTTTGATCAGCTTGGATATTGAATTCTGTTTACATGTAAACATGTTGTCCATATTCTAAACATCACAGATGCAAAAGGACTTGTAGTATATAAAAAACCCTAATACACATCCCTGAATATATTTTCCAAAGGTATCACCTTAAATCACATATGTCAAGTGGACACTTACATATAACAGGGATATAACAGAACACAGATAACAGGGACCTTCACAAATGAAATTTATTTCTTCATTATGCACTTGTCTCGAGAGAAAGGAAAATAAGTCTTTATATACTACAGCACACAATATAACACTAAATATAGAGAGAGAAATTTTATATGGTCCACTTAGTAAATAAGATGTACAAGTGTGAAGGAGAAAAACATACCAGGAGAAATGCACACATTCTTCTTTTGCGAATAAAGCACTGATGTTTCCCTTGAAAACATTTTGGTTGCACAAAACAAACAAATCAAGGCTGAATTAAATTGAAAGTGAAATATATTTTCCTTTTATATCCACTGAGTCAAACAGTAAATGTAGAACCAATGACCACATTTTCTTATTACGAAGTCTTGTTGTGTAATACATTTACACCTTGAAAGAATCCAATTTGCTGGTTCAGAGCACACACAATATGTTGGTTTGTGCCTTAAATTGTTCAGTCAAATGTTAGCTTTTCATGCCATCCATTCATTTGTTAAAAAGTGTGCTGTAATGACCCAAAACCAAAATCAGTTTAGACATCTGACATCTTCAACACCCTCACCTTTTGAACTGGAAATCACAAGGCGTCATGGATTTACCTCTAACTGTGAATCTAACTGGATAATCTTGACCAGTCCAATAAGCATTATTATAAAACTGACACAACCTGAATAATAACATGAAGATCAAAAGGGAAATAAATAAATGAAGTGAACAGACCAGTGAGCAAGTCATACTGAGCTTTATCAGTGCTGCTCACAGCTGTGCACAGAAGTCCAGGTGCAGAGCTGATCCCTTTATTCATGCAAAAGTTACTACAATCATAGCCACTATAGTCAAACAGGCCAAATATAGACTCTTCACGATCTACAAATTTGAAACAGTATGTGCACAATAATACATATGTACTGATGTTGGTAAAGGTGAAAAAGTAGTGATTTTGGTATTTCAAATAACCTCAGATTTCCAACCCATCTCGTTCACAGACTGCGAAAGACAGACTTAACATTGTAAATCTGTAAAGTTCTTTTTTAATTTTCATTAAATTAAAGGGTTAGTTCACCCAAAAATGAAAATTCTGTCATTAATTACTCACCCTCATGTCGTTCCAAACCCGTAAGACCTCCGTTCATCTTCGGAAAACAAATTAAGATATTTTTGATGAATTCTGAGAGCTCTCTGAACCTCCCATAGACAGCAATTTAATTACCATGATCAAGGTCCAGAAACGTAGTAAGTACATTGGTAAAATAATCCACAAAAATCCATGTGACACCAGTGGTTCAACCGTAATTTTACGAAGCTACAAGATTACTTTTTGTGCGCAAAGAAAATAAAAACAATGACTTTATTCAACAATTTGTCTCCTCCGCGTCACCCTGGCACCATTTTGGAGAGTATCCACTGAACATAAACAGCGTATGCTATTCTGTGTCAGCTGCGTCATGCGGATACGTTTTCTACGTTGTTTATGCTTTGATCTCAACAAAAACAATGTATCCGCGTGGCGCAGCTGACACCGAACAGCATATGTTGTTTACTTATGTGATACTCTCCAAAATGGCGCTATAGGGTGACGCGGAGAAGACGAATTGTTGAATAAAGTTGATGTCCTTGCTATGATTCTGGACCTTGATCATGTTAGGACCCTTGCTGTCTATGGAGGGTCAGAGAACTCTCAGATTCCATCAAAAATATCTTAATTTGTGTTCCGAAGATGAATGGAGGTCTTACAGGTTTGGAACGACATGAGGGTGAGTAATTAATGAAAAATCTAGTAAACACTGCTATATAGCCTTATTGAGTGCAACAGTCAGGTTCCAGAAGTAAAAATCCCATTTATTTTGTTCATAAGGGAATAGGAACTTCATAAGGGAATTTTTACTTTAATTTTTAAAACTTTAAAGACAGACTTAACTACGTGGTTGTTAATCAGTGGTACATGCTCACATTGAAGCCATCAGCCCGCTTGATTTAAACTTTTTTTTTAATCA